ACCCCCATCCCATCCCACCCACCCACCAGGATAGACCGCCATGGTCTGGTATGATGGACCTAGTCTCATCTGACCCGGTCCGATTTGTTTTTTTTTTCATAGAGAAAACATTATTTTTTTTTTTCTGGTTGCGGGTCGTTGGAGCTTCAGTTAGCTGACTTAACATTAGTTAACTTCAACATTAGTTAACATGTGTCAATCCATTTATTTTCTTTTTTCTTTTAACCTTTTTCCGGTGGTGGGTCGTCGGGGCTCTTGTTAACTGACTCAACGTTAGTTAACTTCAGCCGTAGTTAACTTCAACAGTAGTTAACTTCAACATTAGTTAACTTTAACATTGTTATTCATCGATTTTTTTCCTTTCAACAACTGGTTGTCGGATCTCCGGTTAATTAGCTCACTCGGCAATAGTTAACTTCGACATTAGTTAATTTCAACGGTTAACATTCAACCTTTTTTTTTTTCCTCCGATGGCGGATCGTCGGAGTTACAATTAGCTGACTTTAATATTAAAATTGTTGGGTGTCAGCTAATTGGAGCCCTAATACCCACAGCCGAAAAAAAGAGTTGAAAGGAAAAATAAAAAAAATGTCGGATTTCAGCTAATGCAAAGTCAACTAATACACTGTTAACTAATTAGAGTTTCTACGTCCTGTTGCCGGTAAAAAAAAAAAAAAAGTTGGACATCAACTAATGTTGAAGTCAGCTAATACTGACTCAACTAATCAAAGCTCCGATGAGCCGCGGCCGGAAAAAAAAAAAAAAAAAAAAAAAAAAAAAAAAAAAAAAAAAAAAAAACATATGTCAACTAATGTTGAAGTTAACTAATGCTGGGTCAGCAAACCGGAGCTCCGACGAACAGCCGGCGAAAAAAAAATACAAAAAAAAAGAGATGTCAACTAATGTTGAAGTTAACTAACTTTGAGTCAGCTAACCGGAGCTCCGACGATCCACCACCGGAAACATCAAAAGATAAAAAACCATAAAAGAAAAAAAAATGGAATTTCAAATGTCAACTAATATTTAAGTTGACTAATGATGAGTCAGCTAACCAAAGCTCTAACGACCCGCAGCTGAAAAGAAAAAGGACATAAAAAATGTAATGTCAACTAATGTGTAAGTTAACTAATGATAAGTCAGCTAACCAGAGCTCCACCAATCCGCCACCGGGAAAAAAATTAAAATAAATAAAAGGATAGAAGAAAAAAAGGGGCTATTAGTGAGAACCCCATCTAGCATTTTTTTAATAAAGATGGGTCCAGCCTCATTTCATTTATTAGTGATAGGTCCAACTTTTTTTCAATTCTCAAATTTACGCTTTCTTACTATTCTCTCCCCACCACTTTAATATCTATTTTATTTTTTTCTTTTAATTATAATATTTGTTTATTTATTTAAAAACTAATACTTTAAAAAAAGAATTCTAATTATATTATTTTTATTTTCTAGTTTTTTCATATCGATTATAAAATTCCGAAAACAGCTATAAGTTTTCGGAATCAACTATTCCCGAAATCAACTATTTCCGAAAACAACTATTTCCGAAATCAACTATTTCCAGAATTAACTATAGGTTACTGAAAACAACTACTTTTTTTGTTTGTTTATTTCTCGAACCAACAATCACAAAAAATAGTTATCTTTAATAGCAGGTTTACTAAAATTATATCAACTACAAATTAACAAAAATTAACCATAAAAAAATTGAAATCAACTAAAAAATAATCAAATCAATTTTAAAATTATCGAAACCAACTATAAAAATTGAAAACAACTATAATTTATCTAAATCAACTATAAAATAAAAAATGTCAATTTAAGAGAAATTATAATCAACTATAGTTGAATCCAGATTCTCGACATTACAGTCGCATATCCATCGAAAAAGGGCTGTATCTCCACCTACCATGTGTTGAATCTGAAAGCTGTGAGGGTGATTTGTTCCATCGCCGCCGTCTCAGCTTGCCAATCACTCTTAGGTGAAGAAAGGACGCAAATCCCTTGCATCAACCGCCAATTACCACTCTGCCACATCAGATCGCCGCTACGGATGCATAAAATGGTTTCAGAGAAAATTAATATAGAAAATCAACTACACTCAACAATATATCGAAAATCAACTACAAACCACATTTTTATCGAAAATAACGAACACAGATCTGAACCGAATCTGAAAATTCGATCTAAAATTGGCTAAAGATAGGATGAATTAACATCTTTGCTCCGATGAGTTCTCGAAACATAAGTTGTCGGTGTTTTTTATTACCGGTTTCATCCTCGGGCTGAATGAATCGGCAAGAGCCGCGACTCAAGGAAATTGGAGAGCGGTTGCTGCCTACTGAATGACGGCTTTTGCTATTTGGAGAGACTCAAAAAGAGTAAAGGATTAACGAGGGCACCGTCGGGCGGTGACAACGGCGGTGGACGGAGGGCAGCGACGACGGTGGTAGACGGAGGGTGGCGGTGGGCATATGAGATCTGGTTTAGGGTTGGGGATAGGAACGAGAGAGAGGTAGTGGCTGCTGGAGAGAAAAGGGAGATGAAGAAGAGAAATAGGGTTTGGTGATTTTATATAATAATTAAGGGTAATATAGGTACACTACTTAAAATTTTAATTCATGTTATATTAAAATATAAAATAAGGGGATTCTCACTAATATGTAAAATGAGGTTATATCCATCTTAATATAATCAAATGTATTGGGGTTTTTTTTACTAATTATCCCAGAAAAAAAATTGAATGTCAACAAATTGATGTTAACTGATGCTGAGTTAGTTGACCGGAGCTCCGACTACCACACCACCGCTGAAAAAATAAGAATTCAAAATAAAAATTAAAATTAAAATTAAAATAAATAATAATAATCCAAATAAATAATATAAAACAAACCCTAATTAGGGTTTGAAAGGGTAAAAAAGGTGCTATAAGCTAATTTTAGGATTTATATAAAATGAAACTTACTAATGGGTTTTACTCAAAAAAAAAAAAAGGATTGGGTTTATCCTAACTTATATAAGCTAGTGAGGAGCTACCTCGCATAAACCCTTATATTAAATAACTTGAACTTCAAGTCGACTTCCCAATCACCCTTCTAAACTCTTGCAGACATTTGGCTTTGCACGTGCATAAACTTAATGCTCGATTTCAGCATTGTTCCTCTTTGAATCTCTCTTCGCTCCAAACATAAAAGTTCTAGATATTTCAGTTATCTTTCTGAACAAGTTTGAATCTTCATTGGGCGTCAGATGAGATAGTTATAACACGAATTATAAAGCTGGCAGAGATATACGGGATGTTCTGGATGCATGGAATTCGACTTGTCCAAGGAATTTCCCTTTTTCTTTTGTTCCAATTCCACACCATGACATCTCAAACTTTTGACTCAAGCCTTTCTTTTTCTTCTTCTTCAAGTCCAACTCTAAACTCGTATGTTTTCGTTTCATCCAATTATTTATCTTTGAGCTTGCCAGGATCGTATCATACTCCCCCTCTTCTGGTATTCCTCAGATATTCTACTCTTGAAACCTGAATTGACTTAAGCATCGGAGGGTTTTCGCCGGAACCAATGCCCGGCACCCTAACGTGTATTTTTCTTACGCAGGAAACGTCTAATTCCATCAAATTAAAGAAGACCATCACAAGATCATATCGGTTCTTGAATATTCGTTGTAGGTTCAATTTGAGGTGATTCGAGTTAACTTATTGTTGACCGTATCATTTTTGTAGCCGTCTGTGGGAAACCGCGGTGTTACTGCGTTCAGAAATGCAAACTCGATCGAAGAACATCCTCGGTGCCAGCGGTGAGGAAGAACAATCCACCCATGATCAACCACGAGTTGTGGGAGCTCAAAGGTCACCACCTCCGATCCCTCCCGCTGATGTTATACCGTTCACAATTACACCGGAATCGCTTCGCAAAATGATGGAAGAAATTACAAAGAAGGCGGCTGAGGAAGCTGTAGCGAAATTTATGACTGCCCATAATGGCGTAGAACATACATCTCCGAGTCGCGCCTCACAGTCACATAGTCGAACTGGGTCACCTAAGAAAGCAGCACTATACGTATCCAGAAGACATGCCAGGCACCCAACAAATTCACATGAAGAGGCTGGAAGTCGAGCTTCTCAGCCGGAAGAGGAAGAGGAAATTCTTCCCAAGCGAAAAACGCCCAAGCCGCCAAATATTCAGGGACCAACTGGACAGCAAGACTCAAGTATTCCAATTACAACTGCATTGCCTTATGTTGCAGCCTCTGTCACTGAAAGAAGCCTCCAAGGAATTTTGCCAGCTCAAAAAAGTCCTTTTTCTACAGCTATTTTGGCTGAGGCGCTACCTGCAGATGTGAAGATTCCACAACTTCCAGACTATGAGGGAACTGGCGACACGCACGACCACTTTGACAAGTTCATAGCTAAAGCAGACCTATACGGTCTAAGTGATGCTGCATATTGCAAAATTTTCCGAACAACCCTACCGGGAAATGCTTAAAAGTGGTTCAATCAACTTCGTGCAGGTACTGTTGAAAGTATGGAGCAATTAACTCATAAGTTCCTTGACCAATTCTCCATCAACAGAAAATATCCAAGAACACCATCTTATTTATTCACTATAATTCAACAAGAGCATGAATCATTGAGAGAATATTTGCAACGTTTCTCACAAGCTGTACAGGAAATCCCGGCGATTGACCATGCTGTTTTGGCGGGTATAATTCAACAAAATTTACTGCACCGGCGGTTTAGAGAAGCTATTGTAGGAAGACCGCCATACAATCTTGTCGAGTTACTAGACAGAGCGGATAAATATATTCGCATTGAAGAGACGATGAGCTTCACTCAGAAGAAGCGCAAACGTGAAGAAGGGCGACGTGAGATGCCCAAGAAAGAGGAATGACGTGTTACTCATCATAGAACTCAACAATTCACACCACTTAACGCGCGGCTCAGTGAGGTTCTTGTTATAGTGCAACAAAAAAGTTTGGTCCAACATCTAAGGCCCATGAAGGAGAGTGCGAAAAGAGAGAAATCGAATAAATTTTGTCGTTTTCATCGCGACAAAGGGCACGATACGGAGGACTGTTTCAATTTAAAACAAGAAATTGAAAGATTAATACAACAAGGTTATTTAAGAGAATTTGTAACTAAGCAGCGCGATTGTCAACAGGAAGAAAGAGGACGAGATGGTCGAAATCACGAGCAACTAAGAGGTCGCCAGGAAGGAGGGCGTCAACATGGACATCGTGAGGATAATTTACCCACGGCTGGAACCATAAACGTGATTTCAGGAGGTCCTTCTTGTGGTGATTCAAGAAATGCCAGACGAGCTTTATTGCGAAAAGCTAAGAATACTCATCTTATCCCAAACGGTGCATCTCCCTCGAGTTGGGCGGAATCAGTTTTTCAAGTGCAATCAGGTGGCCAAGGTTTGACGTTTGGCGATTATGATTTAGAAGGAAGCCAACGAGAGGAACATAATGATGCACTTGTGATTTCAGCTTCCTTATCCAACTTTTGGGTGCGCAAAATATTGGTCGATGGTGGTAGCTCTGCTGATATTATCTTCTATGATGTTTTCCAGCAGTTGGGAATCGCTGACGCCCAACTTGCACCTGTCAAAACCCCTTTGATCCGATTCACAGGTGAAGTTGTGGAAGCTCTCGGACAAATCACATTACCTCTTATCCTTGGGACATTTCCCAGAAGAGTAACTCGAATGGTGAACTTTTTGGTAGTCAAGTCGTCGTTGACCTACAACGTGATTTTAGGGAGACCAAGCATTCATCAATTTAAAGCAGTGGCTTCAACGTGTCATATGAAGTTGAGATTCCTGACTCCCCAAGTAATCGGTGAGGAAGTTGGAGAGCACCGCATCGCGCGAGAATGCCATTCTAATACTATTCAAAGAACGATGGGACCTTTGAAACGGCATGGTGGGTGAGGCGACGTATCTTTGAAAAGTCGAGGTAAAGAGAAGTTGGCCCGTTCATCAACAGATGAAGAAATGCATGCTATTGAAAATCAACCTGACAAAGACATGCGACTGGCGGCAGCTGAAATGCTAAAAACAGTTGAAGTGGTACTAGGAGATCCATCTAAAGTGACTAGAATTGGAGCTGACTTAGCGCCTGAGATGGAAGAGGCAATTATCGCTTTCTTACGGAGCAATTCCGATGTTTTTGCCTGGAGCGGAGAAAACTACCGGGAATACCTGAAGAATTTGTTATGCATCATTTAGATGTAGACCCTAATGCAAGACCAATCAAGCAAAAGAAAAGAGCTTTTGGGCCAGTTAGGAGTCAACATATCAATGATGAAGTTAACAAATTGCAGGATTCCAAATATATCCAACCTGTCCGATATCCAGAGTGGCTTGCTAATGTTGTCCTGGTAGAGAAAAAACGAGGCAAGTGGAGGTTATGCGTGGATTTTACAGATTTGAATGAAGCTTGTCCAAAAGATCCATATCCTCTACCAAGAATTGATTTATTGGTAGATTCAACATCAGGCTGCGAGTTGCTGAGTTTCCTTGATGCTTATCAAGGATATAACCAAATAAGGTTGGCCCCGAAAGACCAGGAAAAAACAAGTTTTGTAACTGACCAGGGAATCTTTTGCTTTGAGGTAATGCCCTTGGGACTGAAGAACGCTGGAGCCACTTACCAACGTCTTGTCAACTCAATGTTTGATGGCATGCTGGGACGCAACATGGAAGCCTATATAGATAACATGTTAGTTAAGATCGTTATCTCCTCAAAGCATACTAAGGATCTAGATGAGTGTTTTATTATTTTGAGAAAGTATCGAATGAAGCTCAACCCTGAGAAGTGTACATTCGGAGTCAAAGGAGGAAAGTTTTTGGGTTATTTAATTTCTCAACGAGGAAAAGAGGCCAATCCAGAAAAAATAGAAGCTATCATGAAAATGTCGCCTCCTAGGACTGTAAAACAAGTGCTGGAACTGACAGGACGGATGGATGCTCTTAATTGGTTTTTATCTCGATCAGTCGAAAAAGGACTACAGTTTTTCGGAATTCTTCGTCAAGGGAAGCACTTCCGTTGGTCCGATGAATGTCAGCATGCATTTGAAGATTTGAAGAAATATTTGAGTTCGCCACCCTTATTGATTAAGCCTGAAACGGGAGATATATTGTCCATTTATCTAGTTGTAGCGCCAGAAGCAGTAAGTGTTGTTCTTGTAAAGCAAGTAAATCGTGAACACCATCCAGTATACTACATTAGCCGAGCGCTGCAAGGAGCTGAGCAACGCTATAGCAATATGGAGAAGCTGGTTTTTGCTTTAGTAACGGTAGTTTTATCCAACCACCCTTTGAAGCATATATTGTCAAGTCCCGAAGCATCGGGAAGAATGGTCAAGTGGTCTGTCAAATTAAGCCAATATGGATTGGAGTATAACCCTCGTCCAGCGATAAAAGCTCAAGTTTTGGCAGATTTCCTCGTTGAGATGGCAGGATTTGAAAAAAGCAATTCGACTCCAACTTGGCTAGCTTATGTGGATGGCTCTTCTACCATCGGTGGAAGTGGAATTGGCATAGTGTTGGAGAGTCCGCAGGGAGGTAAAATTGAATATGCAATCAAGCTCGATTTCCACACTTCAAATAATGAGGCGGAATACGAAGCTTTTATAACAGGGATCCGTTTATCCCTAGCTGCTGGAGCCCGAAAGCTTGTTATACATAGTGATTCACAACTTGTAGTGAATCAAGTCTTGGGAGTTTATGATGCAAAAGAAGAAAAGATGGCGAAATACGTTGCTATAGTCAAAAAGTTATTAACGCGGCTTGAAGATTTTGAAGTTAAGAAAATTCCGCGAACCGCCAATGAAGGAGCAGACAGTTTATCTAAACTGGCCAGTTCAATGTCTAATATTAATAGCCGGCGGATTACTTTTTTAGTTTTTGCCAGGTCAGAAATTAACACTTTAGATGTAGTGATGTGCAATATGGCTGCTGAACCGACATGGAAAGATGAGTTGGTGCGATACCTAACATTAGGAGAACTCCCATCCGACCACTCTCAAGCACGTAAAATATGCACCCGAGCCGCTCATTTCACCATGGTGGATGATGAGTTATATAAAAGAGGTTTCACTCAACCATTTGTGAAGTGTTTGACGCCACAAGCAGCGGACTACGTACTTCGAGAAATTAATGAAGGTTTTTCCGGTAATCATCTCCGGCACCCTGACGTGTATTTTTCTTACGCATGAAACGCCTAATTCCATCAAATTGAAGAAGATCATCACAAGATCATATCGGTTCTTGAATATTCGTTGTAGGTTCAATTTGAGGTGATTCGAGTTAACTTATTGTTGACCGCATCACCAATCAACTCTTTTAAATGGTGGTAAAATATAATTCAACCGATCAGAAAGAATATTGTTCGATCCCTCACAAAGAACTTCATCTTTGTACTTCTCAATTGTGTATGAAACAACTACTTTCCTATGCACCTTCACTTCCCCATCGTCATTGATCCAATTAAGATCGTAAGGGTGTAGAACGTTCGGATGCATGTGATTGTAATCTCTCGGTCCATAATGATAGTTGTGTGGTGTAGATAACACAATATCATCATCAATAGTTTAATTGCAAGATTCACCTTCATGCACTGGATATGAACAGTATCATCTTCGTGTATTGCATCACCATCTTTAAGACATTTAAGCATTTATGAACGTGGGTATTTCGTAGCTCGAAGGTGATAGAGGTCTAACAACCCGTTGGCAAGAAGTTCCAATCCATGTCCCAATGGGACCAGTAACGAGGAGTTGAGCTAAGCAATTCAAGGAGAAGCTTGATGCATTATTATCCAAAATGTCTTAACTAAGAAACATTCATTCAATGGTGATAGACAATGCTGGATTGTGCATATTCAAGTGGCCGATTCACTCGACAAGTGTGGGAACCATTCAGGCTAAAGATCATCCCATGTTGAGCAAATAAGAGCAAGGAGGATGAAAACCAAGGCCCACCCTACCTTAAATTCGTGGGTTTCATCTTAATTAGCTCATATTAGTGTGTTTATGGGTCTTTTCTAATTAGGCCCTCTATAATTTTGTGGTTCACTTGTTTAAAACCTTTATTAAGTAGCTTTAGGGTTTTATTTTCCTTTCTTGAAGACTACGTATTGGGGGCTATATATGTCTTCTTTTTCTTATTCACTGTGAAACACAACCTTTGATCATTAATAAATTGTGAGATTATTCTCTCTAATTCTTTAAGAACTTTTCAAACATATCCGAGGATTCCGTGCATTCACCCCGACTTATCAATCAATCTTTCACAAACCAAGGTTCTTGTCTCTTTATACGCAACGAGTCGCGGTTCCACCCCTTGATGTTAGAGTAGGTGACCGAAGAGCCAACTAATTGTTGTGTTTTCTCACACTACTCGTAAATAATCTATTTCATATTAATGATAAATACCCCCTTTTGCATACTATTATTTGTCCCTTGCATAAGCATAGATATAGTCCTTACAATTACTTAATTACTATAAATATATCTAGTAGAATCGTGAGATTATTTATTGAAGTATAGTAACTGTTAAACGTAGTTCCTAGTCAACGGGTTACGCCATTAATTAGGATATCGACCATTCCCATTTGAGACTAGCACTTAGTGTGTGTACAGCGTCTCATCAATCAACGATGTTGTGACATCGACATACATAAGTGGGTGCTCATAAGTAAGTTTATGACTTCACTGAACTCATCTAGAGATCTCTAAAAGGTTCCAAATAATCGAGTAGAGGTTTCTATGATATAGTTGTACACCATTAATCCTTAAGACCCAGATATCACTGTGACTTCACTAGAGGACCAGCAGTATCGTGACCTATCCCTGAGTTCCACTGAGGACCTCCCCAAGGGCCAATGTTCGTGCAGTCCAAAATCTAGTGGGAGGTATGTGCATTGTAGTAGGGGATTCGATCGCTTGATCAGTCATGGATATCCTGTGTGTTCTTGTGATTTATAATCCATGGAGTCTGTGGCCACAACTGAAAGTGTCGTGATTAGCGAAATATGTTTCTCCGAGTCAAACACGAACGGATTATATAACCAAGAACGTCCACACAGTTAATTGAACTCATAAAGAGGTCTCGATGAACCAATGCCTCTAGTTCAATCGGGATATATGTATCGAAGGGATCGGTACGTTAACTATATCAGACGGTTCTTGCAGGCACTTCATTTGTATCTTGGGAATCATGACGCGTACTTGCTAGACGCCAATCTTGATTCATTGGGTAGCTAAGTTGAAACTAGATTCAACTTAATTATAGCTCTAGGGACGCGTTTAAACCACAATGGGTTGTGGGCCCACGGCTAGCATACACCTGAACCATCGAGGGTCACACTGCTCTTGTACTTGAGATTCTTAATGCAACGAGCTAAGGTTAATTAGTTAATCTTAGTGTAATTGGAAGTCAATGTGATTGAGTCCAACATTCGTAATTGTTAATTACGGATGAGAATAAGTAGAGGAAAAGAATTCGACGGAAATTTAGTGAACTTTCTATAATGGGAAGTTTCCCGATTTTGCGAGTCCTAAATTAGGGTTTCCAATTTTGGAAATTGGTAAATTACACATTGGTACTCGTATCGACGAGAATTTGTGCTCGTTGTCAAAATATAATTGTTATATTTTTGCAAGCATTCGTTTGCTAGAAACGAGACGAGGAAGATAATGGACTTAAGTTGTTGGGCCTAGCCCAACTTAAGGCCTGTTAGGGTTTTCACAAGGAGCATATAAATAGGATTTATATGTCTTGTGAAAGACACAAAAACAACACATCAACCATGAAATCCTAGCCTCTCTCCCTCCATCAGCCGCCTTGCAGCTGAAACCCTGCCTCCGCCACCAGCCGCCACGCCGCCGCTAGTCACCGCCGCATCGGCATCTTCCTTTTCGCCTCGT